CGCTGGCTGCTGAGACACTGCCCCACACCCACCCATCCCCCAACCTCCTCCTCCTCCTCCAGGCCGGCAGGGCCCAGATCCGCCCCGAAAGACCGGCAGCCCTGAAGGACCCAGGCAAGTGCGCACCCCAAGCCCTTGCAAGTCACAGGTTCAGGCCGATCAGACGTGTGCGCGAGCCTTCTGGGTTCCCTCCTTCTGCTCCCCGCACTGCCCAGTCCTGGGCCTCCAGCGATAAGGCACTGGAACAGCCCGAGAATGCCCAGAAGATGGCACGGGAAGATGCAAGGAACGGGCCGTTGGAAGCAATGGGCCCCCCGGCCTTCATGCTGTCGTGGGACGGATACGGTTACCGGCACCTGAACGCGCCCTCACCAGCACGTTTCCCCAGCCTGCACTGACTCATCCCAAGTGGGCAGACTTCAGACGTCCTGACGACCGGGCCCCTCACGGAGCAGCCCCGGGACGAGGCAGGAGGCAGCACGCTGGCCCCGCAGCCGCTGAGGCTCAGTGCTGAGCGAGGCCGCGTTTCAGAAGCCAGGAAAGTCTCTGGCATTTCTCAGATCTGGGGACTCAACTTCTCCAGCACACCATAAATCACATACTCAGGCGAACCTTTAAACTGTGGTGAAGCCAGCCAGCCAGCTGAGTTCAGCACCAAAGCCAGCGGGTTTCAGCGAAGTGGCCCCACCATCCAGTTGGGGACAGAGGTCTCCGCCCATACCCCGCAACGTCCTCACCTCCCAACGCTAGCCTCAGACCATCTGCGTTACAGGGCTCAGCAAAGAACGTGTGTGAAGGACTCAGAGCTCTACCCTGAGGCCTTCAGTCCCACGTGTGCAGGTCTCGCTGGACTCAGTATGGTTTGGGGTTTCACAGCTGTGGAAAGGGGATCAGGTGGCAGAGATACTTGCTAATAAGATTAAAAATCAAACCGTAAATTGGCCAACGTTTGCCAGATTATCACAGCTCAAGAGTCAGAATCCCGGCCTGGCCTCCACCCCACCACGTGTCACCCAGCTCCGCCCAAGCTGATCGTGACGACGGCTGGGGACTCAGACACACCGCGGGGCAGAGGGTTTTCAACGGACGCCGCACCAGCCCCTCCGTGAGAAGGAGGGCGAGGCAAGCACTGAGCAAGCGGGTCTTACAGAGCAGCTGTGTCCAGCAGCTGCTCTTTGGAGCACGCCTTTCACAGCAACCCGACCTTCGTTTCCGTCTTGGCTTCTTGGATGGTAGAGGAGTCACAGTAGCAAGAAAAAGACCCGGGCAGCAGCTCGTCAAGGTCTGAGGAACCCTTTAAAGTGAATTGCCAAAAAAAGAAAGTGCTCCGGAAGCACGGAAGAGATGCCCAGCGCCACGTGCCATCAGGGAAGCTCAGGCCCAAACCACCGTGAGCTACCACCTCATGCCAGCAGGACAGCTACCACCAAAAAGAGGGCCGAGGACGCGGAGAAACCAGCACCCTCACACGCTGCCAGCGGAAAAGCCTGACGGTGCAGACACTGGAAATCTGTCTGGCGGTTCCTCAGAACGGTGAGCCCTGAATTACCACGTGACCCAGGGTTCCACTCGGAGGGAGACACCCAACAGAAACGACGTATGTGTACTCCAACACTCGTAGTGAATGTTCACAGCCGCGTGATTCACAGTCGCCCAAAAGTGGAAACAACCAAATACCCGTCCCAATCAACGCATAAACAACAAGCTGTCCTACCCCCCCCCCGCTATCAGGCAACAGTAACAAGGGATGACGCGCTGGCGCCTGCCACCATGTGGCGGAACCTGGGAACACTGGGCCCGATGGGCACTGGACACAAGGTCACACTGCTGCAGGGTTCCATCGGCAGGCAAAGTCCAGAAGAGGCAAGTCTTGGGGTAAAAGTGAGTGGCTGCCTTGGGCTGGAGGGTGTGGCAGCTAAGGGATATGGAGTTTCTCTGGGGGATGATGAAGATGTTCTAAAATTAGATCACAGTGATGGTTACACAACTGTGTGTCTGTACTAAAAACTACTGAATTGTGTACGTTGAATGGGTGGGCTGTATGCTATGCACGAATCGTATCTCAACCAAGCCGTTGTGCAAAATAGACGGAAAGCAGGAAAGAGATGGAGTCACAAAAGGCAGACGTGTTCTAGGAAGACTGAGTCCAAGGAACCAGTCCTGGCTGAAAAACCAGATGATGGGGAAGTTCACATGCTTCCGACCACCTCCACGATGGCCAAGGTGCTCACCAGCCCAGACACAGGGCAGCACTCCTGGACGTGGCCCCGCCCCCACCACGAGACACCCACTCAAAGTGGCCTCGTGCCACCAGCCAGGTCTCTGCTCTGGGCCGCCCTGGGACGGACCAGTCATGCACCAACCCAACCCCCACAGCCAGGTGCTCACGAGGACACTGGCACCTGACAGGAATTCAGAAACAACACGTGAACGACAGAGAGTGACCTCCCTCTCTGTGACACCTGGCTACCCTGCCGTTTGTCCCCAACCCTGTCAGAAACCATCCAATTCAACGATGGGCACAAATTCAGGATCATTCCCAACATGACCCACACTGGGGATCTCACTTCTAGAATGTTATGTATGATTGGTTGTGAAAAAAAAAAAAAAGCCTGTACCTTCCTACTAAATTCTCACATTTAAAGCAAAAGGGGGCTCGCCACATCAGGCATGTAACTATGAAGACTGAAAGAACTCAGCCACAGCGGTTTTCCAGTTACAGTCACTATCAAGGCTCATGATAGAAATTTAAGTTTATAGACCAAAGATACAATTAACGTGGAAATAGTTTTCCAAATCAAAATAAGGAAAAATTATTTATTTCCAAAAACCAGTAAGAAAAAAAAGGCTAATGAATGCTCAACAACGAGCAAACCTTGAAGATTTAAGATCATTAAAGGACAAAGGGCCAACCTAAGGAAAAGAGACGTCCTCTTTCTGTCCTCACACGTGGGAGCAGAAGGCAGCACATTGGACTGCAAAGCTTCTGGAAGGCCTTTTAAGGAGACAGATGTTTGGAGGGGCTTTGGGGAACCATCTAGGAAGTGGGGTATCAGGCTAAGAACCAAGGGAAAAATGGAGGGGGTCCTGAGGCAGGCCAGGGGAGCACAGAGGAGGAGCAGTTCTCTAGGAAGGGAGAGAAAAGGGAGCATTCACCACTGCACATCCCCTTTGGCTGGGAAAAGATGTCAAGTGTGTCACCATCTGCTTGAGGGGTGTGTGGTGCAGGAAAGGGCTAGGACAGGTGAAGCTGCAGTTCCGAGCCATCAAGGGCTGGCAGCAGGTTCTCAGAAATCCAGCTCAAATCGGGGGGAGGCGGGTGGACATGGGAAGGAAATACTGTATGAGAAATACAACTGGGTGAGTTAGATTTCTGGGGACAGGAGACTGGAAGGAAGCCCTGGCCGTGTAAGTGAAAGTTAAGAACATGGGAAGAAGGTCCCCTGGAGCCAGAAAGGAGGCAAACGTAGATATGGGACAGGTGGTCTGGGTAGCTGGACCGAGGAGACTGGGACTGAGCGGCTGGAGTGTGAAGAGGATGGGGTAGGCCAGGGGGTGAGGCCCAAGCCGTGCCTGGGCCAGGAAGAGACTGGGGTAGGGGGGCTGGAAGGCCAGCTCCTAACAGACAGTGAGGAGCCCACCCAGGACTGGGTGCCCGGCCTGTGGCGCAGGAGTCAGTGGTGGGCAGGGGCTCTCAGGCTCAGTGGCTCACGGAGGGAGGGGGCTGACGAAGCCCTCCCGAGGAGGAAATCCCGGAGGCGGCCGCGGCCCCAGGGCCTGAGGCTTTCTGGGAGCCAGGAGAGGGTTGGGGGCAGGAGGCACGTCTCAAGCCTGGGAGGGTCCCGAGTCAGGAGAAACCAGTGGGAGAGAGCTTCAGGGTCCAGTAGGGCCGGAGGGAGGGCTGGTCCTGGGCGACAGGCCACAGGGAGGAAGGATCCAGGTCTGAGGAGGCCGGTCACGGGGGCTTCCGGACACCAGCGGTCGGTGGCCGGCTT